ACTGCAAGGTACCATACCACAAAGGGAAGGCTGGGATTGAGTTTGGGGGTGATGAATCATAAGGGGGTTCAAAAAATTGGGGGGGGGGGGGATTTTTTTTTCTTTTTTTTTTCTTTAAAATTTTCCATTTTAAATTGGTTATTTCTGATTTATATATAAAAGCAAATAATAATATGGTTTGAATAGGTAAATTAAATTTTTTTAAGTTCTTAGACCACACTCATTCTGTGTCAGAAACCTATGCTGTGTCAAATATTTAATTACAATCCAAATTCAGTGCTGTATCAAGCTTGAATGTTGTGTCCATACTTGCCCCAACTGTTCAGGGTTCGACTTCTGCGGTCGTATCAAGCTGCGCCCCAGAGGAGCATTTTATTCACTCATATAATCAGTTTTCCACACTGTTTTTAGTCATGCTTGAAGATATTGACATGATATTTACTTTTTGTTTACACCATGACAAGTTATAGAACAAGTTAGCATTTTGTTCCAGTAAAATTAATTTTTACCCGGTAGGGACTATGTATTGCCATGCAATACTCTCAGAATGCTTGTTTTTAATTCAATTTGTGATATGAAATTATTTTGCTCAGGCTGGTGTTTATTTAAATTCTGATGATGTGTCAAATCAGTGATATCAGTAGAATCACTCCACATTCTTATCTGGTGTCATTTATAATATTCGTATAAATACACAGTTGCGCCAAGTTGAAATGTTGTTAAATATTATGCCCGGTGTTGGGAGAGTGCCATGCTGTTTGCATCTTAAGAATCATGGCAACAACTCTATGAGGTGGCCCTTTTTATACGAGCGCCAAAAAATTTTGTGGTCGTATATTGGTATGACGTTGGCGTCGTCGTCGTTGTCCGGCGTCGTCGTCCGAAGACACATTGGTTTTCGCACTCTAACTTTAGTTTAAGTGAATGGATCTTTTTGAAATTTGACCATAAGGTTAAATACCACAAAAGGAAGGTTGGGATTGATTTTGGGGGTTAAGGTACCAACAGTTAAGGAATTAGGGGCCAAAAAGGGGCCAAAAATAAGCATTTTCTAGTTTCCAGACAATAACTGTGGAACGGTGTATGGATCTCTCTGAAATTATTCTACAAGTTTCCATACCACAAAGGGATGGTTAGGATTTGCTTTGGGGGGTTATGGCTCAAACCGTTTAGAAATTAGGGGCAAAAAAGGGGGAAAAACAAGGTTGTCCTGGTTAATGGACAAATACTTTAGTACAAAACATAATTTAAAGCAGTGTAAGGGAGATAAATCAAATACATCATTGAAATTATCTCCCTTACACTGCTTTTAAATTATGTATAAAGTAATGGTTAATGAACAATAAAGATAATTTAAAACAGTGTAAGGGAGGTAATCCAAATACAACGTTTTGGTTACTTCCCTTACACTGCTTTTAAATTATGTTTAAAGAAATGCATATTTATAAAGGAAGACCAGTAAAAATATCTGCAAATGTTGCATCTTTTTTTTTTACCAAAAAATCCATATGAATGATTTGACACTATATTTTTAATTCTATTATAAAATAGATTAAGTTAGCACTATGGTAAATTTAAATGGGTAATTATGGTTGCCAACTCCATTGGAAATTTGAATTGAGATTATGACCATATCTTGAGGGAAAGAATTTTTTTAAGGGAAAAAAGGGGGGGGGGGGATAAAAAGAAATTGTGGGGGGCAATTTTTTCTCATTTCACATTTCAGAAATTAAAAAGAATTATTCCTCAAATATTATTTTTTTTTCAAATTTCAAATATTGAAAAATTTCAAGAAGTAATCTTTAATTGCACAGTATGGCGCATAAGATTTGTATAATCTTTGATCACATTTATTTATTTGTTATGCCGAATCTAACAGTGTATTTAGATTTTTAATTTTGGGTCCAGTTTTCAAATTGGTCTACATTAAGGTCCAAAGGGTCCAAAATTAAACTTTGTTTGATTTTAACAAAAATTGAATTCTTAGGGTTCTTTGATATGCTGAATCTAAACATGTATTTAGATTTTTGATTATGGGCCCAGTTTTCAAGTTGGTCCAAATCGGGGTCCAAAATTAAACTTTGTTTGATTTCAACAAAAATTGAATATATGGGGTTCTTTGATATGCTGAATCTAACCATGTATTTAGATTTTTGATTTTTGGGCCCCGTTATCAATTTGTCCACATTGAGGTCAAAAGGGTCCAAAATTAAACTTTGTTTGATTTCATCAAAAATTGAATTATTGGGGTTCTTTGATATGCCGAATCTAACCGTGTATTTAGATTCTTAATTTTTTGGTTCCGTTTTCAAATTGGTCTACATTAAGGTCCAAAGGGTCCAAAATTAAACTTAGTTTGATTTTAACAAAAATTGAATTCTTAGGGTTCTTTGATATGCTGAATCTAAACATGTATTTAGATTTTTGATTATGGGCCCAGTTTTCAAGTTGGTCCAAATCGGGGTCCAAAATTAAACTTTGTTTGATTTCAACAAAAATTGAATAAATGGGGTTCTTTGATATGCTGAATCTAACCATGTATTTAGATTTTTGATTTTTGGGCCCCGTTATCAACTTTGTCCACATTGAGGTCAAAAGGGTCCAAAATTAAACTTTGTTTGATTTCATCAAAAATTGAATTCTTGGGGTTCTTTGATATGCTGAATCTAACCATGTATTTAGATTTTGGATATTGGACCATAATAGGTGAATGTCCAATTTAAAATTTTTAAGTTCTTAGACCACATTCAATCTGTGTTAGAAACCTATGCTGTGTCAAATATTTAATCACAATCCAAATCCAAAGATGTATCAAGCTTGAATGTTGTGTCCATACTTCCCCCAACTGTTCAGGGTTCGACCTCTGTGGTCGTATCAAGCTGCGCCCTGCGGAGCATTTTATTTAAATTGGTCTACATTAAGGTCCAAAGGGTCCAAAATTAAACTTAGTTTGATTTTAACAAAAATTGAATTCTTGGGGTTCTTTGATATGCTGAATCTAAACATGTGTTTAGATTTTTGATTATGGGCCCAGTTTTCAAGTTGGTCCAAGATAGGGTCCAGTATTTAAACTTTGTTTGATTTCAACAAAAATTGAATATATGGGTTCTTTGATATGCTGAATCTAAACATGTATTTAGATTTATGATTATGGGCCCAGTTTTAAAGTTGGTCCAAATTGGGGTCCAAAATTAAACTTTGTTTGATTTCAACAAAAATTGAAAATATGAGGTTCTTTGATATGCTGAATCTAACCATGTATTTAGATTTATTATTTGTGGGCCTTGCTATCAAATTGGTTCATATTGAGGTCAAAGGGGTCCAAAATTAAACTTTGTTTGATTTCATCAAAAATTTAATTATTGGGGTTCTTTGATATGCCAAATCTAACCGTGTTTTTAGATTTTTAATTTGGGTCCCGTTTTTTAAATTGGTCTTCATTGAGGTCCAAAGGGTCCAAAATTAAACTTAGTTTGATTTTATCAAAAATTGAATTCTTGGGGTTCTTTGATATGCTGAATCTTAACATGTGTTTAGATTTTTGATTATGGGCCCTGTTTTCAAGTTGGTCCAAGTTGGGGTCCAAAATTAAACTTTTTTTGATTTCAACAAAAATTGAATATATGGGGTTCTTTGATATGCTGAATCTAACCATGAATTTAGATTTTTTATTTGTGGGCCCCGCTATCAAATTGGTTCATATTGAGGTCAAAAGGGTCCAAAATTAAACTTTGTTTGATTTCATCAATAATTGAATTATTGGGGTTCTTTGATATTCCAAATCTAACCGTGTATTTAGATTTTTAATTTTAAGTCCCGTTTTTTAAATTGGTCTACATTAAGGTCCAAAGGGTCCAAAATTAAACTTAGTTTGATTTTAGCAAAAATTGAATTCTTGGGGTTCTTTGATATGCTGAATCTAAACATGTGTTTAGATTTTTGATTATGGGCCCAGTTTTCAAGTTTGTCCAAGTTGGGGTCCAAAATTAAACTTTGTTTGATTTTAACAAAAATTGAATATATGGGGTTCTTTGATATGCTGAATCTAACCATGTATTTTGATTTTGGACATTGGACCATAATAGGTAAATTAAAAAAATTCAAGTTCTTAGATCACATTCTTTCTGTGTCAGAAACCTATGCTGTGTCAAATATTTAATAACAATCCAAATTCAGAGCTGTATCAAGCTTGAATGTTGTGTCCATACTTGCCCCAACTGTTCAGGGTTCGACCTCTGCGGTCGTATCAAGCTGCGCCCCAGCGAAGCATTTTATTGACCTGTTGTAATGCAACATTTCTGCCCACTGTATCCTCATTTTCCAGTGTCTGTCCAAATATAGGCCCTGCATCTTTTGGATTCATTATTATTCGTGGGATACCAATTTTCATGGATTTCGTGGGTACAGATGAACCACGAATTTAAATGTTCAACAATTTATGAATTTTCTATAGGCTTGTATGCAGACTGTGGCAAAACCTTGAAATCAAATATCCACGAAAATGTAAGTATTCCTCAATCATTGAAAATTGGTACCCACGAAAATAAATGAAACTACAGTATGCATGATGTATTTGCCACTGGATGCTAAACAGTCAATATCCATAATGTTGAATAAGACTTCATAGCAGTGGCTAAAAAAATATTTTATGACCTGCCTCGAGAAGAACTGGGCATTAAGGTTTACCCTTGTCTGTCTGTACATATGTCTTGAAATTTGGTTTCTGTTCTCTTAACTTTAGTTTGCCTCAACAAAATATTATATAACTTACACACAATGCTTATTAGCAACAAAAACAGATCAAGTTTGAATTTGGGTTGTGATCCTTTCACCTTTCTTGTGTTATGCCCTTTATAAATGAAAAAAAATGCTGAATTCATAGTACATTGACTCATGCATATTTACAAGCAGAGGCATCTGTTTCACATGGACACATTCTTCTTTTAAGTTTTTTTAGCTCTATATAAATGGTAAATATGAATTTGATTTCGTTGATATAGAATGAAGTCATTAGAAGTTGATGCCATGAAAGCAGAAGCTGTGATTGCCAGGGCCCAGGAACTTAAGAAAAATACTGCTGTAGAACTTGCCTTTGCAGGTAAGATTTGTTTTGAATCTCATCCAACATTCATTCCTCTGTCAACATTAAATTTTTTCTTTCACTTTTGGCTTTAAAAACCTGCAAAGTTACCCTCTATATGGTAGCTTTACTGTGCAGGCATACTTTTTCAATGAGTTTATCTATCTTGATATTATATGTTAAACAATATTGAATGAAAAAGGAATTTTTGTAAGAATTTTAAGGAAAGGAGAAACAATTATATTAATGCTTAAGAGATACAAAGATTTTGAATTGAGAGGATGATGGGGATTCGTTAAAATGATGTATGTTCTTATTCTGTAATAATGAAAAGTATACTTCACCCACCATGAATTACCAGAAATCACTGATGAAAATCACAGCCAAAATGAAGTTTAACTGAATCACTTTGTGGGTACTGTATTTGCTATTTGCCTTTGTAAGCATTAACCCTAAAAAAAAATCCAGAAAATGCAAAATTTAGTGTGCAGACATCATCTGGAAAATTATCACTCCATATCTGAAGTGTCACATGTTTTTGTTTTGTATTTTTCAGAAGAGGAAGAAAATAAATTGAATCAGAATGGAGAAAATTCTGTAAGTTTTGTATTAGAAATTTGTATATTTTACCCATAACCTTTATACTTGCTAGTAGTAATAACAATGTTTGCTCTGTACTAATTATATCTGTATTCATGGATGGAAATTTTATGTAAGATTCGAGATTTACAGTCTTTGAGAAATTTAATGTATCTATAATTCTGTACTAACATTGAGGATTTCTGAATCCCTTATTTTCGATTCACATCAAGAAAATCTACAAAATTGAAATTTATCTGTCTACATACATGCAACTTGTGTAAAAAGGTTTTGAAAAAAACAAGAATGTTGAATGGCTTGATACATATTTTCCAAATGAGGTCCTGAAACTATTAGCTCTATAATACAATACTAACTGTACTAACACTGGTTTCCAGAAATGTTTACCTTTCTATGCTAACCTCGTTGTACAAACCAAAGAGGGGGATACCAGAGTGAAAGAAAGTTCACAAGTACTTGATGAAAAAGTTTCTAAGAGAACTATGGAAGTTGTAGATGAAAAAACGGGAAAGAAAACTCTTAGAACTTTTGAAGTTAGTGAAAAAATAATTGAACATGAGGTATAAATTTGTAGTATTTGGGCTTGATAGAGTATTGCTGTTTTGTAGCTTGATTGCTTCCCTTTATTCAAATTTCCTGCATGCAGAAGGAATGTGTTAGCATAAAGAATACAACATTAGCTCATTAAATTGCAGTTGATAACTACTATTAAAACTGCTATTATTTGATTATTTTTACCCATAGAACCCTTAAGATTTGGTCTGTGGGCAAATTTAGATCCAATTCTTATGTTAAAAGATTTTCGTTGTTTATTTGGTGTAGAGCTTTTGGCGTTTCAGTAATACTTTGAATTTTGTGGTGCATGGATCTGTTGTAAGTACTGTAATTTATATGTAGAAGTTTGATGTACAGTAATAGTATTTCATCATTTAGATTACCGCTATTTATAATAGTTTGTGTCACAGTACTTTTAAGTTGATAAATCCTTAAAACACAAAAAGAACAAAACAAAAAATTGTCTAGTTTATGGTAAGGGCTGTCCTATTAAAACATACATCTAAAGTCCATACTTTAATATATATATATTATATATATACAAAATAGTAAAAAAATGGAAAAAAAACATATCCCTGCTTTTACGAGAGGGTAAACTGGTTTACTTCTGCCTGCCTATCTAATTGTCCATTACAAGTTTTAACTACAAATCACAACTTTTGTGTATTTGATACAAATCTTCATATAGGTAAGCTATAATGTACACTGCATGGTCAGGCCAAACCAATAATCTGCTTCCTGTTCGACACATCCACTCATTTTCTATGAATGTGATGCACATGTAGAAAATTGTCCACCCACTTCTCTCTCTCAACAACTACAAATCACAGCTTCATGACATCTTGTAACAAGCTTCCCGTAGGTAAGCAATACCTTGTGATGCATTTTAAGATCCATAACTTTCTACTACTTGTTAAAAAAGAAAGGATCGAGATGGAAGAAATAAAGTAAAATGTCCAATCAAATACTTGGATGGATGTCTTCTTGTTTTTTTTTGTCGAGCCTGCGACTTTTGTCGCAAAAGCGAGACATAGCGCTCCTACATTCCGTCTGCGGCGTCCATAAATATTCACTCTGTGGTTAAAGTTTTTCAAATTTTAATAACATTCTTAAACTATCCTGCATTTCAACCAAACTTGGACAGAAGCTTGTTTATGATCATAAGATAGTATCCAGAAGTAAATTTTGTAAAAAAAAATCCTGTTTATCCATATTTTACTCATAAATGGACTTAGTTTTTCTGCCAGTTAACATTACATTCACTCTGTGGTTAAAGTATTTCAAATTTTAATAACTTTCTTAAGCTATCCTAGATTTGTACCAAACTTGGACAGAAGCTTGTTTATAATCATAAGATAGTATTCAAAAGAAATTTTGTAAAAATTTATTTCCTGTTTTTCCGTATATTACTTATAAATGGACTTAGTTTTATTTCAGTTAACATTATGTACAGTCTGCAGTTAAAGTTTTTATACGCCTGTCAAATTTTTGATGGGACGTATTATGGTATACAAATGTCCGTCCGTCTGTCCATCTGTCCGTCTGTCTGTCCGGCGTAAACATGTCGCACTGTAACTTGAGAATGACTTATCCAAATTTCATGAAACTTAACATAGTTGTTTCTTATGATGGTCAAACGATCTATACTTTTTGGTGAAAATAAGATTAAAACTTTTTGAGTTACAGGACTTAGTAACTAAAACAGGTGTGTGTTTTTTTTCACATGTCGCGCCGTATCTCAAAAACAATTTATGATTATTGCTTAAAACTTTACACACTTCTTAGTTATATTAATCTTAAGATCTGTATACTTTTTGGTGATGATTCAAAATTTTATTTTAGTGATATTGAGTATTTTGTTAAAAAAGGGGGAGAGGTTTTTCACATGTCGCGCCATTCTCAAAAAAGGTTTATGATTATTGCTTAAAACTTTACACACTTCTTAGTTATATTAACCTTAAGATCTGTATACTTTTTGGTGATGATTCAAAATTTTATTTTTGAGTTATTGAGTATTTTGTAAAAAAAGGGGGAGGGGTTTTTCACATGTTGCGCCGTATCTCAAAAACGATTTATGATTATTGCTTAAACTTTTACACACTTCTTAGTTATATTAATCTAAAGATCTGTATACTTTTTGGTTTTGATTCAAAATTTTATTTTAGAGATATTGAGTTTTTTGTAAAAAAAAAGGGGGGGTTTTCGCATGTCACGCCGTTTGTCAGAAACTATTTATGCTTATTGCATAAAAATTCACACACAAGACGACAGGCGTATCATGCGCTCATGGTGCAGCTGTTTATTAAAACATTTATTAGATTCATAAACCTTCTTGGAATTTTACCAAACTTGAACAGAACTTCTTACAATCAAAAGATAGTATCTAGTTGAAAATTTTTAATAATTTTTTCCCCATTTTTGTTGAGCCTGCGACTAACAGCAAAAGTAGGCAAGAGATTGGGTTCCGCGTAATCCTTACGAATTTTTGTATTGTACAGTTACTACAGTATATGTCTTGTACTATCTCATTCACATATACCATGTATTGCAATATATTCATATATATATTATTATATATACTGTTACTCCTAAATAGAAGTTATGTATTTCTAGTGTCAATATGTCATAGAAAGAATTGTTTGTCTGTTTGTAGATAGAAGTAACAAAACAGAATATAATAGAACTAAATATTGAGGGAGGAGAGTCAGCGTCATGAAAAATATAAAGGTAATAGATATAATATTGCAGAACTGAAAACTGTCCTGATTTTTACAATCTGATTTGACTATATAAAGGGGCTATATTGCATTAACCTTGTCAGTATATTTGTCCGTCTGTTCTTCCAACAAATATTTCTCTCACACTTTCTCAGGTACTACTGAACATAACTACTTCATATTTCATCATTAACTTGACAGTGACAAGCTGTAATGTGTAAGCACTATTCTGATCTGTCCGACACATACATTGAGTTGAGAGATTGAGTATTCGTAACATAACAACACATGCATTCTTTTTTGTCCCCTGCGTAATGTGTTGCGGGGGACATGGAAATACCAGGCATCGGTGTGTCTGTCTGTCCGGTCTTGTTAGCGCTCTCACAGGTTCAATTCTTGCCAAATTTTTATAAAACTTTTACTATAGGTTAATATCACCAATATCTTGTACAAATTTATAATGGTGGCCGATCGCCTTTTTGAAAAAGAGTTATGCCCCTTGGAAATATTAAATTTATGGAAAATGGCCTCGTTAGCGCTCTCACCGGTACAATTCTTGCCAGATTTTTATAAAACTTATACTATAGGTTGATATCAGCAATATCTCGGACAAGTTATATAACAGTGGACGATCGACTTTTTTAAAAAGAGTTATGCCCTTTGGAAGTATTAAATTCATGGAAAATGGTCTGGTTAGCGCTCTCATGGGTACAATTTTTGACAGATTTTTATAAAACTTATACTTTAGGTATATATCATCAAGCTTGTAAATATAAAATATGTGCAACGCGGGGGACATTGGAACTCAGATTTTTTTCTTTTTTTTAACACATAAACGTTTTAATCCTAAATACTTCCTGTATACAATTACCGTAGTTGTCCAGGTAACAGGTTAAGGGTCCCTGTTTACAAAATGAGCATGCATTCTTGTTTAGAACTGTGTTAAGCTGTTTTGAATTAGCGTTTTTATACACACTTGAAGACTGTCATATTATGGTATACCAATGTCTGTCTGTCCGTCAACACTTCATACGATAACTCAAATAATTCTGTCTTTGTTATTTTTGGATATACATATACATTCGTTTTCTTTTACTTGTATGAATTGATTTTTGTATTCTGGTTTCAGATTTAGTCAAGAGCTCAAGAGAAGCCATTCCTCATACAGCCAAATGTTTAGATAATTATATTTTACGGAGTGACCTTTGACCTTAAGAGGATAGTTATATATTTTATAACATGATGATTTTATCATTACCCGTTTTTATACATTGACAAGTTATTTATAAATTTTAAAAAGTGTTCATAGATATATATATATATATATATAAATATGTATAATTTCTTAATATGTGATAATTGTGTTTTATAACAACAGCAAAAATGCATGTATTAACCAATATTTATTGAAGAAGTATTCATTTTATCAAAAGCCATTTAAAAACTGGTAATTGCATAGGCAAAACTAAGGTGGTGCCAAGGTGAAAATCATCTGAAATCAAGTTGTTTTTTGAATTGCAATGCTGAATTTAGTACTGATAACATTTTTAAATAGCGCTTGATAAAATTAAAACTGAACTGCCCTGTTACAAGAAGATTGGTTAACACATGATTGGTTTCTGTTGTAATATGAAAATTTATTGTGCATTTGTTTTATTTGTTTTAATAATATAATGTAATGTAAGGTTGATCTGATTTTATTTTAATTTCTAGTATGTTAAACGGTACGTCTTCTTGTCTGTTGCTATCCGTCCAGAATCTCTACACTGACAAAAGAGTTTTTCCAGCAGTTTCATAAATGGACCTTTGATATACAATAATTTAAGGAATAAATTTGAAATACTTGATGATCGATCCAGAGTAAAGTGAGAATATTTTAGAAATTTCAATCCATAAATAATGTTTTTAGTTTTTAAGATAATAAGAAAAATTTTAAATGAGTTCGTTAGATAGGGTTAGTTTGACAGCTGAAGTTGGAACAGTTTCTTTCCTATTTCACATTCAAAAAGAAGTTGAAGATTTTAAAGAAATGTAATTTTACATATACTATTAACAGGGACTGGCAAATATGGAGAATCAATGCTTTTAGTGTATTAAATTCAACAAATCAAGTGTACAATTTGAATTTTACCTTGATAATAAAAGTACTTACCAAAGAGGGTTTCGAGGAAAATAGATAAATAAATAAAAGATCAATATATGTGGCGCTTTTTTGAAAATAAGAATATGTAATATTTATAATAACAGTTTATGAACACACCTTCATATAAAATATATATTCACTAAGTTTTTAGTATAAATATGTAGTTTGAAGATTATAGACGCATTTGAGAATTTTAAAAGATATTTTCGTAATTAATAATTAGGTCATGACAAGTGGAGGAGGTCGTCTCCCCTGGCTAACTTCCTGCATGAATTTGTAGGCAAAAGAGTTTTTGACTTTGCAAATAAAATATAGATTTGGATTGAAGATGATCAAATCATGTGATCCAGAGTGTAGCTAATGAACTTTCTATATTTGAAAGTGTTTAGAAATAAGTATATAATCAAGCTTGTTGTTTAAAGAAAGGAATTACACATGTCAGGATATTGTTCCATATCAGAGACACAGTAATTATTAGCAATTGGGCAGATGGAATAGGGAGTGGCTGTATTTTTTGATTCAAGTGAAAATTGTAGTTATATACCCCAATATACTTACATGAAAATACATGTCAAAACATAACAATACTTAGTGGTTTCATTTTAATCATTATTTCATTAGACATCATTTTTTCGATCATATTCATGAAATTTTCAGATACATTTTCTCATCTTCAAATTAGTCTTCGAGACATTAAACTGGCATTTCTACATTAAGGAAATTACTGGTGCAATGTATGATGGTGTGTGATAAAATTAGTTTGATTCCCCTTTAAAAAAATCTCTTTAATTTCCCTATAATAGTAAATGTAGAAGATACAGGCCTTTTTGTTCAAAATATTTATACAATGGATAAAACTTTTCAGTGAGTCTTGTATATTAAAGCAAGATTTAAATGCTTTCTTAGTTTGATCTAATGGTTAAATATTTTGAACAACTAGACCTTTGTGTTTATTTTTTCGAAAAAGAGGTTATTCAAGAAAGGGGATAGTTTGATTATTATTATGTTGACAGAGTAAAGTTTTTGTGATTTTCTGTCTTTTATTTATTTTTGATAGAAATAGGAACAAGTAGGATTTAAAGTTTTCTCTTTAACATTTTCTTGCCATTTTTGTAGAATTTGCACTTTTTCAGAAGCACATAAGTTGGGCTGTATTAAAATAGATAGACTCTTTCCATATGATATAATTTCTAAATATAGATCAAATGGGTTTTTCCATATGATACAATTTCTAAATATAGATCAAATGGGTTTTTCCATATGATACATTTTCTAAATATAGATCAAATGGGTTTTCCATATGATACAATTTCTTAATATAGAGAGTTTTTCAGGGCTGTGAAGCGTTAACCTTTGTTGTATTTCCTGTTGATTCATTTGTAAATTCTTTTTATATTATAGCAATGTCCACTCATCCGTTAACCTTTTTCTTATTGTGTATTCTGTTTTAGAATGTTAGGTGTTGAATTCAAACTGCTTGGATAAAATAACTTGATTCAATGACCTCTGACCTTTGTACCATCTGAATGATTTAGGTGTAAACTGGCATTATATTTTTTAAAAGGTCTTGTAACAATCAAAATAGAATTGAACCCTTTCAAAATGATAGGTTAACATTTTATTGGTACTTTCTGTAAAGAAATAACAATAAATACACTATGTCAAATTGTACATATATGAAATATTGTTAATTCTATGTACAACTATGAACATGATTAGATAGCAACTAACTTGTTAAAACAGCACACATATTATGTCAATTTGTGAACTTTTTTTGTAATTATGTTTTCTTCCAATTTTAGGCAGGATGAAATGTATGCCTTGTAAGAATCTTGTAAATTTGTATGATAACATTTTCTGTACATAAAGATATATTTATATAAACTCATTTATAAGGTCTTGATAAAGTTAAGGCCTTCCAAACACTAATAGTGGTTAAAAATAACCCTTTTAAATATAGTTTAATTTTTATTTGTTATAATTTGGCACACTTTGTTTTATTTGTTTTAACATCATCCATAGCCCTGTATCTGTATACCTGTTATATATATGACAGCTTTTTTAATCTTCCATTTTTCCACAAGTCATTTGCATATTTTATAGTCATCATAATTTTATACATTATTTAAAGATACTACACAAATTTGTCTCAACAAAATGTTTGTTGCAGCCTATATAGTACATTGGAAACAGATCAGGATATGTGGTCATTTCTGCAGTAGTCAGATGAGGAGACTTTGCCTTAAAAATGTAGATATTTTATCAACTTAGTTATTAATCCATTCATAGGAAGAATTGATATTTCTGGTGTCAAGTTTTTAATCCTTTCAATTGATAATGTGAACTGTGGGGCTAAAATTAGAAATACTTGAATAATGATAGAGAAATGTGCCCATTTAAGTGTAATATATTCTCTGCAATGAGGGCACTTGTATATCATTAGTTCAATAATACTTCCTATGCTTCAAATGGAAGAGAACACTGTATGTATAAACACCAAATAAGAGTTATGCAGCAATAATATAAGGTATATGGTGTCTGGTCTATATTGGTGCATAATGCATGTAATCTTTCTATGGAATAATTAATTGTATGTATGTAATTTTATATTTATTAACTTATGAAAAAGGTATTTAAAGATTACAGCTGGGATTTTGCTTAACAAGCTAAGATCAAAATTAAGAAAGTAGATTTGCTTCAATGCCAGATTTACATGTTTTTGATTATTGCAGCTAGGATTTTGCTTAAACAGATCAAAATCAAAGAAAGAAGATTCTGCTTCAATGCCAGATTTACATTTTTGGGGCATTAGATAATTATGCTGTCTTCTGTGTCGATCATTGTAGATGTAACATCCTAAGTGGAAAATTCCAATTCCCCCTCCCACCCAAGTAAAACTGTCCAGCATTTTTTTTTATTCTAGCATTGATAGTTGTCTCATTGGCACACTACAACTTCTTATTTATATTGACAGTTTATGTAAGAAATTAATGTACCGGTATAAAAATTTTATATAATTGTAGTGTCAATTTTGAAAAAGGCTAATTTCATGTGCCAGTTGCGTGTATTTTACACCAGGAAAATAAATGGTTCAAAACAACATGTCTGATTATTGTCAATTGATAATCTGTATATCTAATTTAATCAAAAATAACATGAGTAAGATTTCAGATAATTCCTTCAAATCCGCCACATAACCCAAGTTACAACCATTCTAGTGCAGACTGCTTTTTTTTTAAGCGTACAGTGTAATAGCTTTTATACAATATTTTCTTTTAATACACTTTTCACATTTAAATGCAATTTAATTTTGTTTTTAATTTTTTCTGTAGATTTTATTCCTAACTATTTTAAGGACTTTTATATCATTTGTTTTATGAAATTTGTTGATTGTGAATTTTTAAATCTGTTTTTTTTCTCTAGATTTGCTAGCAAGTATCTGTATTTGTACTCCTGCACCAAGTCAGTATATCTATGATATTTTGTCAATTTTCTGGTCAGTTTGACTCTGAAGAGTATAACAAATTAATCTAAATTTCAATATTTTTTGTTATATGTTTTAAATAACATTGTATACACAGAAGTATTGCTTAATAAAAAATACCAAGCATGTGGTTTAGTTTCCATATTGTAACCGTCAGAGCTACAGTAAATTTATGTACCATTTTGTTGTCTGGTTCCTTCCCTTTATAACTATTCCAGAAGTACCAGATTCAGGATCAAACTGATCAGAAACTGACCTTTCAAAGAAGAAGATTTTATTATAATGTTATTGGATAGCAGTTTAAAAGCTTGTACAAATGACAAGTGAAATATTATTACCTGTATTTATAACATGCTCAAGTAATTATTCCGTGTTTAACAAAATCTGGTTTGTAAATTCTAAACATAAAAATAAAAGTATAAAAGTGCAGTTGAGATTATATTTTATGGCAGTATTTTAGTCTTTGTTTTTATGTTTGATTTTTCAGAGGAGTTTGTTGTTGGTTGCTGTTATTGTCTGTTGTAGGGTTGATTTTTCAGAGGAGTTTGTTGTTGGTTGCTGTTATTGTCTGTTGAACTGTAGGGTTGATTTTTCAGAGGAGTTTGTTGTTGGTTGCTGTAATAGTCTGTTGAACTGTAGGGTTGATTTTTCAGAGGAGTTTGTTGTTGGTTGCTGTTATTGTCTGTTGAACTGTAGGGTTGATTTTTCAGAGGAGTTTGTTGTTGGTTGCTGTAATAGTCTGTTGAACTGTAGGGTTGATTTTTCAGAGGAGTTTGTTGTTGGTTGCTGTTATTGTCTGTTGAACTGTAGGGTTGATTTTTCAGAGGAGTTTGTTGTTGGTTGCTGTTATTGTCTGTTGAACTGTAGGGTTGATTTTTCAGAGGAGTTTGTTGTTGGTTGCTGTTATTGTCTGTTGAACTGTAGGGTTGATTTTTCAGAAGAGTTTGTTGTTGGTTGCTGTTATAGTCTGTTGAACTGTAGGGTTGATTTTTTTCAGAGGAGTTTGTTGTTGGTTGCTGTTATTGTCTGATGAACTGTAGGGTTGATTTTTCAGAGGAGTTTGTTGTTGGTTGCTGTTATTGTCTGTTGAACTGTAGGGTTGATTTTTCAGAGGAGTTTGTTGTTGGTTGCTGTTATTGTCTGTTGAACTGTAGGGTTGATTTTTCAGAGGAGTTTGTTGTTGGTTGCTGTTATTGTCTGTTGAACTGTAGGGTTGATTTTTCAGAGGAGTTTGTTGTTGGTTGCTGTTATTGTCTGTTGAACTGTAGGGTTGATTTTTCAGAGGAGTTTGTTGTTGGTTGCTGTTATTGTCTGTTGAACTGTAGGGTTGATTTTTTCAGAGGAGTTTGTTGTTGGTTGCTGTTATTGTCTGTTGAACTGTAGGGTTGATTTTTCAGAGGAGTTTGTTGTTGGTTGCTGTTATTGTCTGTTGAACTGTAGGGTTGATTTTTCAGAAGAGTTTGTTGTTGGTTGCTGTTATAGTCTGTTGAACTGTAGGGTTGATTTTTTTCAGAGGAGTTTGTTGTTGGTTGCTGTTATTGTCTGATGAACTGTAGGGTTGATTTTTCAGAGGAGTTTGTTGTTGGTTGCTGTTATTGTCTGTTGAACTGTAGGGTTGATTTTTCAGAGGAGTTTGTTGTTGGTTGCTGTTATTGTCTGTTGAACTGTAGGGTTGATTTTTCAGAGGAGTTTGTTGTTGGTTGCTGTTATTGTCTGTTGAACTGTAGGGTTGATTTTTCAGAGGAGTTTGTTGTTGGTTGCTGTTATTGTCTGTTGAACTGTAGGGTTGATTTTTCAGAGGAGTTTGTTGTTGGTTGCTGTTATTGTCTGTTGAACTGTAGGGTTGATTTTTCAGAGGAGTTTGTTGTTGGTTGCTGTTATTGTCTGTTGAACTGTAGGGTTGATTTTTCAGAGGAGTTTGTTGTTGGTTGCTGTTATTGTCTGTTGAACTGTAGGGTTGATTTTTCAGAGGAGTTTGTTGTTGGTTGCTGTTATTGTCTGTTGAACTGTAGGGTTGATTTTTCAGAGGACTTTGTTGTTGGTTGCTGTTATTGTCTGTTGAACTGTAGGGTTGATTTTTCAGAAGAGTTTGTTGTTGGTTGCTGTTATAGTCTGTTGAACTGTAGGGTTGATTTTTGTCAGAGGAGTTTGTTGTTGGTTGCTGTTATTGTCTGATGAACTGTAGGGTTGATTTTTCAGAGGAGTTTGTTGTTGGTTGCTGTTATTGTCTGTTGAACTGTAGGGTTGATTTTTCAGAGGAGTTTGTTGTTGGTTGCTGTTATTGTCTGTTGAACTGTAGGGTTGATTTTTAGAGGAGTTTGTTGTTGGTTGCTGTTATTGTCTGTTGAACTGTAGGGTTGATTTTTCAGAGGAGTTTGTTGTTGGTTGCTGTTATTGTCTGTTGAACTGTAGGGTTGATTTTTCAGAGGAGTTTGTTGTTGGTTGCTGTTATTGTCTGTTGAACTGTAGGGTTGATTTTACAGAGGAGTTTGTTGTTGGTTGCTGTTATTGTCTGTTGAACTGTAGGGTTGATTTTTCAGAGGAGTTTGTTGTTGGTTGCTGTTATTGTCTGTTGAACTGTAGGGTTGATTTTTCAGAGGAGTTTGTTGTTGGTTGCTGTTATTGTCTGTTGAACTGTAGGGTTGATTTTTCAGAGGAGTTTGTTGTTGGTTGCTGTTATTGTCTGTTGAACTGTAGGGTTGATTTTTTCAGAGGAGTTTGTTGTTGGTTGCTGTTATTGTCTGTTGAACTGTAGGGTTGATTTTTCAGAGGAGTTTGTTGTTGGTTGCTGTTATTGTCTGTTGAACTGTAGGGTTGATTTTTCAGAGGAGTTTGTTGTTGGTTGCTGTTATTGTCTGTTGAACTGTAGGGTTGATTTTTTCAGAGGAGTTTGTTGTTGGTTGCTGTTATTGTCTGTTGAACTGAAGGGTTGATTTTTCAGAGGAGTTTGTTGTTGGTTGCTATTTTTGCCAATTTCTGTTATCTCTTTTTATGGAAATTATAAGTTGTGGATAACATGACACCTGAAAATTTAACCCTTCAGTATTAATTGGTCCTTTTAAAAACCTTTATTGTAAATTCAGAAATTATTGTGATGTTTATATTATTGCAAAAATTATAACGAGATAGGTGTGGTAAAAATAATAAATTTTGATTGCATTATTTGAATGCAGCATTTCCTGGAATTGCAATAATTAAAGTTGCATTTGCGTCGATTGTCCAACAATGGCAATTACTAATGCAAGCAATGATTGATTGATTGATGGCTGTTTAACTTTAAGCAGAATATAAAATCCATATTCAGGACGATAACATATTTATAAGATTAAAGTGGCTTTGTACTACGGATGGGCTTGGTTTTGCACATGCTTACTAACGAAGTAACAATTATCAGGAGGACATACCTAGACACATTATCATGTCTTAAAACCAATCAGTCTTTGGGTTTACTGATTAATGTCCTGTGCTTGTTGGAGTAACCCCAAAGACCAGTTTTAAGTCTTGATTGAACAAGTTAAGGATTGAAGTTGCAATCTCCCACACTATGATATTTAATTGATGGGCATTTGCATAGGAACAAACAGTTGTTTTACATACTAGATACTTTAGATAGATGCTGATCAAATGATGTCAAATAAGCACACCCAACAATCAAATACATTTCAAATTGTGTCTAGCTGCTGATATTTTACATGATAAAAAACATGCTGATATGGTATTGAACAATCATCTTTTGTGGGGGCTGTCATGGTTTTTGTCTTGCCTGCAACAAGGTTGGAGAATGCTAGACATACGGATTACAATCCGCCTATTTGTATAAAGCTTTATATTTCAGAAGGTAGAAGACCTGGATGCTTCATACCTTGTATGCAGATACCTTATGTTACAAAGTTTCTGTCTGTCATATGTCTATTGTCCTTTACCTCATTTTCATGGTTCAGTGACTGCTTGGAAAAAAAATTGTTTTTTTGTCAAGTCAAATACTCGCTTATTCTGAGTAATAGGATAACTATATTTGGTATATGGGCTCCTTGCAATGTCTACATGTCCGCTGTGGAGTGTTCATCTGACCTCGACCTCATTTAATGGATCAGTTATCAATGTTAAAGTTACGTGGTCAAGTTAGTATCTCAGATACTATAAGCAATAGATCAACTATATTTGGTGTATGGAATGATAATAAGGTGTACCTGTCCAACTGGCAGGTTTCATCTGACCTTGACCTCATTTAGTTTTTATGGTTTAAATTTCTCCGATACTTCCCCGGTTTATTTAAAGCAATAGGACCACTTTATTTGGTGAACATATCCGACTGGCAGGATGTTCATGGTTCATTGGTCAGTGATAAGTTTTCATGATTTTTCTCAGTTTTCATATACCACAAAAGCAATAGATCAATTATATTTGGTGTATGGAACAATTGTAAGGTGTACATGTCTCTGACAGGGTTCATAAGACCTTGACCTCATTTTCACAGTTCATTGGTCAATGATAATTTTTCATGGTTTTGTCAGTTTATTCGATACTTCAAACAATAAGTCAATTATATTTGTTGTTACCTGTTGCCTATTCTGTATATTCCACCTATTCCAGATGAACCACTTCAGTTGGTAAATCCTCTTGAATCCTGTTGTATGGAATGATTGTAAGGTGTACATGTCTGTCTGCAGGTTTCAAATAGCCTTGACCTCATTTTCTTGGTTCATTGGTCAATATTTTATGGTTTGATCGGTTTCTTGTGTACTATATGTGATAGGACAACTATATTTGATGAATGGAATGATTGTAAGGTGTACATGTCTGTCTGGCATGGTTCATTTGACAGTGAACTCCTTTTCATGTGATACTTGTCTTAAAACCTTCATATTACAGACTTTCAACATAAGTCAAATCATAAGTAAAGCAGGTGGGACATTTCAGCATGTGCACTCTTGATTTTCTTGGGACAAACATTTTTTTCACCCGACTAATGGAACGTTTATAGTCATGCCATCTTTGCAGAAGTGGTAATTTGTTTGAACACATTTGGGATAAAAACAATGAAATAATTCTAAACAGTAAATGTTTCACCCCAAATATTAAATCCTTCTTTTATACCAAAGCAGTGTTATATCATATTATTATATGT